TGTGACAACACAGAGCAGGGTCTAACTCATGACAGGAGGGAAACAGGGTGTAACTTCCTGTCACAGAATGGAGACAGGGACTAACTTTCCTGTCACAGGATGGAGATAGGGATTAACTCCCTGTGACAGGAGGGAGGTTCTACTTTCCTGTGACATGACAGAGAGGAAGCCTGACTCCCTGTGACAGGACAGAGCAGGGTCTAACTCATGACAGAAGGGAAACAGGGTGTAACTTCCTGTGACTGGATGGAGACAGGGTCTAACTCCCTGTGACGGGACAGAGAGGAGACCTGACTTCCTGTCACAGGATGGAGACAGGATCTAACTTCCTGTCACAGGATGGAGACAGGGTGTAACTTCCTGTCACAGGATGGAGACAGGGCCTGACTTCCTGTCACAGGACGGAGACAGGGTCTGACTTCCTGTCACAGGATGGAGACAGGGTCTGACTTCCTGTCACAGGATGGAGACAGGGTCTAACTTTCCTGTCACAGGATGGAGACAGGGCCTAACTTCCTGTCACAGGATGGAGATAGGATCTAACTTCCTGTGACAGGAGGGAGGGTCTACTTTCCTGTGACATGACAGAGAGGAAGCCTGACTCCCTGTAACAGGACCGAGAGGAGGCCTGACTCCCTGTGACAGGACAGAGCAGGTTCTAACTCATGACAGGAGGGAAACAGGGTGTAACTTCCTGTGACTGGATGGAGACAGGGTCTAACTCCCTGTGACGGGACAGAGAGGAGACCTGACTTCCTGACACAGGATGGAGACAGGATCTAACTTCCTGTCACAGGACAGAGACAGGGTCTAACTCCCTGTCACGAAAGATGGAGCTAGGGTCTAACTCCCTGTGACAGGAGAGAGGGTCTAACTTCCTGTGACAGGAGGGAGGGTCTACTTTCCTGTGACAGGACAGAGCAGGGTCTAACTTGTGACAGGGGGAGACAGGATGTCACTTCCTGACACAGGAGGGAGACAGTTCCGTCTTCCTATGACAGGACAGAGATAGGGTCTAACTTCCTGTGACAGGATGGAGACAGGGTTTAGCTCCCTGTGACAGGGCAGAGAGGAGGCCTGGCTTCCGTGACAGGATGGAGGCCTAGTCTAACAGAGACAGGATCTAACTTCCTGTCACATCTCCTAACTCCCATGACAGGATGGGGTTAGGTCTTAAGTTCCTGTGACCGAGCTGAAGGTGGAGGACAAGCCCTGAAACGGTTCTAACTTCCTCACCAAGGCTCCTCATTTTCTGTGACAGGAGGCAGGTGGGTTTTCACCGCCTGCGGCAGGACGGAGCTAGGTTCGAAACTCCCATGGGCGGGCGGGCTGAGGGGCTCTCCTGTCCCCTGAATTCCCAGCCGTCCCCCGGAAGGCAGCCCCACGGGAACGCAGAGCCAAAGTGCTGAGCCCGTGGGGTTTGGCAGAAGCTCCGCCGTGCTGGATGCCCCGTCTCCCAGCTCTCCCTCAGTTCCGGGGGCCCAGCCCCGTGCGGGCTGCTCCGACCGGCTCTACACTGGCCACCTGCAGTGAGTGTCGGCGCTTTACGCCCCATTTTACCAGGACTCAGACAACTTCTCGTCTACCGACTCCTGAGAAAGGGCAGCTCTGGGCGGGAGCCCAGGGGACAGAGACGGTGAGGGCTGGGACGCCGGGGAGGGGAGAGGCAGAGGGGAGAGAAGGGGGCGCTGCCGCGGCTCGGGGGGGCCCCTGGGGAGTGGTGGGGCCCGGAGGCTCTGAGGAGCAGAGAGCTGAGGCCGAGGGGGGCCTCCACACAGATCCCATCACTCACAGCACCCCACGGACCACTCACAGACACGGGTGCACAAGATGCGTATGTGTGTGCGTGCACACCTGCACACACACAGTCCACACGCAGAAACCCATGACACACAGATGTGCAGGAGCACACACACACACATACACACGTACACACACATGCACACACACGTGCACACATGCGCACATGTGCACACACACATGCACACACGTGCGCATGCACACACACGCGCACATGCGCACACACACACGACGCACGCGCACACACATGCACACACACACGAGTGCACACACGCACGCACACACGCAGGACGGCTTCAGAGCATCTTGTAGGTGGCTTGGCCAGCAGATGGCGCTAGAGTGTCTTTCCCGTCAATTCCTCTTCCCAGCCCCGCGGCTACCACACACGGTTCCCAGGTCTCCTGCACCCATGACGCCTGGGCAGGAGCAGCAGATACTCCTAGCGGTAGCTCCCTTGGCCATCACGCCCGACTGCCCCGACCCCACACCGGCCACCCTCACACTGACCTTTCCACGGTCACCAGGGTCCCACCCAGACTCGGACGATTGGCGGGTTGAGTGTTTGGCACCCGTAGGTGGCCCTGATCCCCTGTCAGCCCCACCCAGTGTCGAAGCTCCTCCCTCCCTCTCCCCAAAACCTACACAAGTGCCCCCGTAGGCCGACGGCAACCCCGGGCAGGCCGCGCATCAGAGTGGGGACAGCCTGGACGCTCAGGGCCTCCTCAGCTGGGCAGTCCGGGTCAGGACAGCCCAGGTCCCGGACGTCAGCGACCCCAGCGGCCCCGCTCACGGCATCCCCACGGCACCCCGTGACCTTCACGTCCTTCAGAAGCCCCAGGATGCGGCAGGCAGGGCAAGGCCCACCTGAGCGCGCGCGCGCGCGCGCGCGCGCACACACACACACACACACACACGGGCTCCCTCCCGTGACCACCTCAGGGCCACTTGGGCAGGCAAGCCTGTGCGTGCGGGACTCAGCCCTGCAGCAAGGAGACGGAATGTTCCGGAAGCTCCTCCCATGGGAGGGGAGAACATGGGGCTTGGGTCCCCACAGAGGGTGGTGACGGGAGGCTGGGCCCTGCAGCCTGCAGCCAGCCCTGGCCACACGCTAGTTCCCGCCCCACCTCACCCACCCCCTGGACTCCGGGACCCGGCGCAGGGGGGCGTGCAGGGAGCAAGGAGCAGCCCCAAGGGGCTTCTCCCGAGACGCCCCTGGGAGCCTGAGCCTGAGGGGGCTGGGGAGAGGGCAGCCCCTCGCCACGCCTCTTTGTCACCAGGACCAGAAGGGACAACAGGCGGGTCCCCGGGGGCCCCAGTTTGGGACTCCAGACCCCTCACATCTCGCGCACGGCGGGTCCACGAGCCCCAATGGGAGAACGAAGGCGCCGCGAGCATCAGTTCCTGCGCCCACAGGGGCTGCCCTGCGGGGGAGGGGTCTCGCCAGCCCCTCGAGAGCCGCTGTGCTGAGCTGTGGGTCCCTGGGAAGAGACTCGCCCCTTCCGGGCGACCCTAGGGCTGCACCAGCGGGCATCTGTCTCCGCATGAGTCAGGACAGGGATACAGCCCCGAAGTCCAGCTCCTGCTGGGTCCCAGGACACGGTGCCCACTGCACACTCAGGCCACGGTGCCCACCTGGTGAAGCTGCAGCTGCATGTGTGTGAGCCCAGACAGGACTAGAGCAGCCGGCCCCCCGGGAGAGAAGCCCCGGGCCCCCCCCCCCCCAGCTCAGGACCCTCAGTGAGGGGGAATGAAGCACCCCAGACCCTTCTCCCTGCCTTGACTCTGGCCGCCGTGGCCTGCTGATGGACCTGGATCACCCCCTGGGGGCCCACGTCCAGCTCGAGGACCCACGTCCCACCTTTAACAGCCCTGGGGCCAGCGACAAAGCCAGGCACAGACAGACGTGGATGTGGGGCCCCGGGAGATGGGCTGTGGGTCCCAGTCAACCCCTCTGACCCCCGTTAACTGCCCTGTCCAGCCCCTCCCTTCCCACTTACTCCTCAGCCCCGTCACCCCCACACCTGCAGCCAGGTGGGGCACCCTGCTTCGTCCACTTGTCCCACTTGGCACCCCCTCTGGGTAGCCACAGCTGGGGTGGGCATGGACGGGCAGGCCTCTCTGCCCACTGCCAGCCCGCCAGGGGCTCTCCTCAGCTAAGCCAGCGCCTTCTGTAGCCCCGAGAGGAGAAAGAAGCTTCCAGGGCTCCGGAAGGCCCCAGTATCAGCGACCACCTAAGCACACAGCACCCGCCCTCCTGAGGGGGGGACGCCTGAGCCCCCGCCCCGTGGGCAGCTCCAGCCTTGGGCCCCTCAGTGTGAGCGAGAGCCAGACCTCAGCCAACAACCCCGCACACCCAGACCAGGTCACAGGGAACTCGGGGCAGCTGGAAAACCACTGGCCCTGGCCTGTGGGCCTCCAGGAAGGGCAGCCCCGCCCAGCCTGGGCAGCCGGGAGTGGCAGGAGACCGCGGCCAGGGTCAGGGAGAGGGCTGCAGGGCTGGAGCCCGGCAGGGAGGACGCTGGCCTTGCACATGGCCGACCACCCAGGGTCAATCCCCGCGTCCCCTGAGCCGACCACCAGGGGTCACCCCAGGGCATCACCAGATGTGACCTGGGAGAACAAAGGGCTGGACCGCCCGCCTGCCCGCCCAGTTCGAACCCCAGCACTGCATGTGTGTGCCCCCAGCACAGGGCCGTGAGGCCTACACAGCTCTGGGGAGACATGGGGAGCCTCCCCCCCCGAAGAAGAGGCACAGTCAGCAACCCCAATGGCACCCAAGGAGACCCTCGGCTAAAACAGGGGGCAGTGACCCCCAAGGCCACGACCCTTAGGGCTTCCCCGGAGAAAGGCGTCCCAGACACCCCAGTAGACACTGGGACCAGGGACGGGCCCAGAGCAGCGGGCCCTGAGAGGGTTCCTGTGGTCCCCGGGGGGTCAGTGTGGGGGCTGCCGCTGTGCCCAGGTCAGAGCATCCACGCCACGTCCCAATGCGGCCACTCCGGGGTTCACCTGGGCTTGGGGTCTGGTCGCTCATGCAACCCCCTTCATTCAGGGGGTCCCCGTCCTGGCTTTCTGCCGCCACCCTTGCCGGCACACGGGGCCCCCGAACCGGAGCCAGCCCGGGCCCCTCCCGGCGGGGAGGGCGGGGCCCGTCAGCTGCTAGGGCGGTGGGCGCGGGCACCCAGCGCGGCGGGACTTACGTGTCTGTGGAGCGGCGGTAGTTCTCGGGGCACTGGAAGGACAGGCAGCGGAAGCCGCCCTGAATGTTGAAGCAGGTCTCGTTGACGGAGCAGTTGTGCACGCCTGCGACGCACTCGTCCACGTCTAGGAGAGACCCGGGGGCAGGTGAGGGCCGGGTGTCCGCCACCAGCCACCCGTCTCCCCGCTGGGCCTGGGGCCGGCTCGCCGGCGTCTGCAGAGCGTCCTGGGTGCGGCTGCCACGTTGGGGACGGAGTTCCCAGGGGTCCGGGGCGCCCCTCAGGCTTCGCGCTACAGCACTGAGGCCCGAGCTCAGGGCGGGGGGGACCCTGGGCCCAGCTCTGGCCGGCCCCGCCCACACCCGAACACTCGGGGCCGTTACAGCCCAGGGAGCCGAGCAGGCCCGGGCTCTGGACACGGCCGGGCTGACCCTACCCAGGGCTCCTTGGAGCAGACAAATTGGGGGACAATGCCATCACCTCTGGGGGGCGCTGGCTGGGGGTCAGGACCTGAGAGTGGTGGGAAATGACCTTCCTGCCTCTAAGGTCATGCTCAGGGGCAAATTCATGCACACATGTGCACACACGTGTGCACACGTGTACATACATGTGTATACGTGTGCGCACCGGCATACATGTTCACACGTGTGCGCATGAACACACGCACACATATGCACGTATGTGCATACACACATGCATGCACATACACATATAAGCACATATACACAAACATGTGAGCACACACACATACATACGTGTGCGGACATCCACGTGTACACACATGTGCACACACTCACACTCTTGAGGCAAGGCCCACGCAGACTCAGCGACCTGCCCCTCCCCGTTCCGTGTGAGCTGCGGGGGGGCCCCGCCCGCCCACCCGCCCACCCGGCTCTGGGTCCCCTCTGAGACAGGCACAGAACCAGCTGCCTCGGGCCTCACCTCTGTGCACAGACGAGGGGGGAGGGGGTCGCTGTGGGCCCCGCCCTGGCCGGCCCCTCACGTCTGCTCAGTGCCCCTCACACTAAACAGACGGGCCGGGCACGTGGGCATTTCTAGGACAAACGTGGCAGGGGCGCCCCAGTCCCCGCCAGCTCCCAGCAGGACTGGCCCGCCGGTGTCCACCTTGGCCCTGTGATGGCCACTCCGGCCCCCACAGCCTGGCAGGGCCCGGCCGGAAGTGGGGTTTGGAGAAGGAGCGGGAGCCTGCTGTTGGGCGGGGTCTGTGGCTGTGCCCCCACCCCGGGGTCATCCTGGCGTTTTAACCCCCCTTGTGCCCGGGCTAGGCTGAGAGGCGGGTGGGGCATGGAGGGCCCCGAGACCCGCTGGAAACCTCGCCTGAGCTTGGGCCATCCCAGGGCAGAGCCGGTGCTGGCCCCGGTACAGGGGGGAAACTGAGGCTCAGAGGCGTCCTGTGTCTGACCGTGTCCTGGGGCACTGACGGGGCTGGGTGCATCCGAGGTCCCCCCCCGCCCCTCAGGGCCCCCCGCATCACCCCCACCTACCCTGGCAGTTGCGGCCGTTGGGGGCCAGCCTGTACCCCTCGGAGGGGCAGCTGCACTGGAAGCTCCCGGGGACGTTGACGCAACGATGGGAGCAGATGTGGCCCCCGGTGGGCAGCGCGCACTCGTCAATGTCTGCAAGAGCGAAGCCCCCCTCGGGTCACGGGGTGGGCGTGCGTGGGGAGGGGGGCCCTGGTACAGCGGGGAAACTGAGGCTCGGAGGCAGGCGTCCTGTGTCTGACCCGTGTCCTGGGTGGGAGGGATCTTGGAGACGCGCACCCCACCCCCACCCCCCGGGCAGCCCCTGGAGAGGGTCCCGCAAGGTTGGGCACGCCCTGCCCTGGTGGGCTTGCTCCCGTGCAACGCCCCCCTCAGCCCCTGAGGGGAAGAGCCGCCCCCAGGGGTGGAGTCTCACCCTCGCAGGTGACCCCGTCCACGTCGCTGAGCTGGTAGCCACGCCGGCAGTAGCAGTGGAAGGAGCCGTAGACGTTGGCGCACTCCTGGCCACAGGGATTGCTGCTACACTCGTTCACGTCTGCGAGGGGGGAGGGGCGGGACCCCCGCTCAGCCTTGCGCCCCACACGGCCCCCGGGCTCCCCGCCCCCGAGGGGAGAGGCCCCAGCACGGTGGAGGGGTCTGGAGTGCTTCATCCCCACCCGCCAGGAGGGGGGACACAGCCAGGAGCGGCCAATCTGTCCCCTGCCATCCCCGCACAGAAAGCCAAGACTGCCCCCCTCCCCCAGGGACGTGGCTGATGTGCCCCCTGGCAGCCCGTCGGGGCGGGAGCGGCCACTCAGCCCACTGGGCTCCAGCTGAGCATTTTCCCTTTGCCAGAGGCCCCCGATCGGCCCAGCACTTGCTCTTGCTAATAAAGTTTTATTGGTACTCCATGGGGCTGGAGCAATAGCGCAGCGAGGAGGGCGTTTGCCTTGCGCGCAGCCTGCCTGGCCGAGCCGGGTTCGATTCCTCCGCCCCTCTCGGAGAGCCCGGCAAGCTACCGAGAGTATCTCGCCTGCACGGCAAAGCCTGGCAAGCTCCCCATGACGTATTCGATATGCCAAACGCAGTAACAAGTCTCACGATGGAGACGTTACTGGGCCCGCTCGAGCAGATCGATGAACAAGACAGTGACAGTGACAGTGGTTCTCCGTGGTGCTTTGTGCCTCCTGGGCCCTGGGGCAGCTGTTTCTGCCTCAGGGAGGAGTTAGGGCAGAGGCCACGGGAAAGCCAGGAAAGCCCGGCTTGGGGCGCCCTGTGCCCCTCGGGAAGGGCGGGAAGGGAAGGCAGGCGGGAACGCCCGACAACTCTGTCAGCCCCTCCCCCTGCCCGGGCCCCCCCCCCCCCGAGACCCCCTCACTCGCTGTCTTCCCAGACGCCCCCCTGCAGGAGTGATTCGGCTGGGCCGGCCCAGCCTCACACTGGGAGCCCAGACGCCCAGACGGGGAGACGGGCGCACGCACAGGCCGGACTTGGAGGGGCAGCAGCTCTCTCTCTCCCCCTCACCCTCAGTGCCACTCACCCCAGGAGGCCTAAAGGTGCCCCCCTCCTTTTTTTTTGGCTCTTTGGGTCACACCTAGCAGCAATGCACAGGGGTCACTCCTGGCTCTGAACTCAGGAATTACTCCTGGCAGTGCTCAGGGGACCGTATGGGATGCTGGGAATCGAACCCAGGTTGGCCGCATGCAAGGCCAACGCCCTCCCCGCTGTGCTATGGCTCAGGCCCCAGGGTGCCACCTTTTAAAAAATTCTGGGCCACACCCAGCGGTGCTCAGGAATCACTCCTGGCGGTGCTCGGGGGACCCTATGGGGCTGCCAGGGACGGAACCCGGATCCTGGGTCGGCTGCATGCCCTAAAGCTGCCCCATTTTAGAGGTGAGGACACTGGCCAGAGGGGTGAGTGCGACACTTTCACTGGGGTCCCAGCAGGGCAGGGGGTTCTGTGGTGCCCGGCCAGGCGAACTCAGCTGCACAGAGGCCTGAGAGTTCTTGGGGCCACCTGGACCACCCCCAGAAAAGGAAGCAGCGACTGCCCAGGTGAGCACCCGGCCCCCACCCTGCCTCTGTCTTTTTGGAAACCTGCAACCAGGCACAGCACTGACAACAGATGAGCCCTCCGGGGCTGCACCCAGGGGACCCGTCCTGAGGGCGACTGTCTTTCTCGAGCAGCCGGAAGCGGCGGGGGCGCCCCCAGCCCCCTGGTGCAGACCCTGGGCCCGACCGACCACCTCCCACCCGCACCACTGCCTGTCTTGGGAGCGGACCTGCAGTCAGCACTTGCCCCCCCCGCACCGAGCACTGAGATGGAGCCCCACGGCCACCCAGATGAAGAGAAGAAGCCGTGGGAGCGTCAAGCCCCGCCCCGTCCCACGGAGGGCCGCGCTGTGGCCCCTCCGGCCTCACCTTCGCACGAGCGGCCGTCGGCGGCCAGGCGGAAGCCGGTGCTGCAGCTGCAGCGGTAGGAGCCCAGCGTGTTCTCGCACCTGTGGCCGCACAGGCGCCCGGGGTAGCGGTGACACTCGTTGATGTCTGCAGTGAACACGGGGCGGGGCTCAGGGACGGCAGCCGTGGGGGGCGCCCCCCTCCCTGCCCCTCCCACGCCTCCTTCCGCAGACGTGCCCGCCTGCCCCCCCACGGCACACGTACGGGCTCTGATGTAGATGTGTACACGCACAGCTACATGCATGTACACCGCAAATACACCCACATGCACCTGTAAATACGCCCACACCCACATGTGTACACGCACAGCTACACGCATTCACATGTACTCCGTAAATACACTCACATGTACACACACGTCTGTGTATGTCATGCGCATAACCACACATGCCTGTACACACCACTTCACACAGGCACACAGTGAGCAGTCAACACATGCTCACCAACACATGTCCATACCAACATACGAGCACAGCATCTGCACACATGTGGATACATTTACCAAGTACAAACGTGTCTGCACATATCTCAGTACACATAAACATGCATACCAACGTGCACACATGTAAGGTCCACATGAACCCGTGTGCACATCTGCACGCGTGGAGGTATGTGCACACATTTGTAGGTGCACAGACACACGTGAGGACGCCTCTCTGTGCCCTCTTGGAGACACATGCAAACACGTCCACACGTGAGGCAGGCCAGCAGTGAGCCCCGGCAGCCTGTCTGTGCACTGCCCACCCCCAGGGCTGCCCTGGGCCCAGCAGGGTCTGGGAAAGGGCCGGGGGGACGCCCAGCACTGGGGCTGGACCACCCAGGGGAGAGACCCTCGGCCCCCCCGGGGCTGCCCGCACCCCAGCTCCATGCCCTGAGCTGGTTTTGGTTTTTGGAGCCGCGCCTGGCGGTGCTCGGGGCTTCCCCAACTCTGCATTCTGGCTCTGTGTGTGGGGGGTGCCTGGGACCAAAGCCAGGTCATCACCGTGCAAGGCAAGTCCCCCGCCCACCATCCAAGCCCCCTGGCCCCTCAGGCCTGGCTCCAGTGCATGGCCCTAGGGACCTCACTCGGAGTCTGGGCCCCCGGAAGGGGGCAGAGTGTATCACAGGGGTCCTGGCCAAGCACGGAGGGCTGCACGGAGGCGGGGTGCCACCGGCCGGGCCCAGGGCTGCGGGGACGCCCACGTACCCACACAGGTCTTGCTGACGCTGTCAAAGTAGTAGCCGGCCTGGCACTCGCAGCGGAAGCTCCCAAGGGTGTTGGTGCAGAGGTGGCCCGGCCCACAGGGCTCTGAGGGCGGTGAGCACTCGTCCACATCTGCAGGGGGTGACAGGGAGACGCAGAGACGTGAGCCGCTGGCCCGGCAGGACGGCAGGAGACACAAGGGCGGTGCCCGACTCGGGGACGCCCAGACCACAGAACCAGCAGGGCCGGGAGACACCCGGCTCAGAGAAGCAGCATCATGACCACAGCCACCCCAACGGAGCTAGAAACAAAACCGGAGGGACAGGAAGCCGGGAGAGGCCACGGCCAGGGTGTGCGGGCTGACCCTTCCCGGCTTTGTGAAGCACCTGCAGGGGGCCAGCTCAGGGGCGACTGCAGGGCTTGGTGGCAGGAGGGGTGGGAGGAAGGTGAGGACGGACTTGGACCCTGGGCATCCCGGGGCAGAGGAAGAACATCGGAGCAAAACCGATGAGCAAACTGGGTGCCGAGACCCTCCACAGGGGTCCCACGGTCTGTGCTCTTGGGAGCAGCAGGGCCGTGAAGGGCCACGTGGTGCCGGGGCCTCTGCTCCCTGGGGTGAGCGAAGGGCGGACGGGTGGGACTCGGCCGTGGGAACCATCTCTGCCCTCCCCGAGAGGGTGTGAGCAGACAGGAAAGCCCGATCTGACTGGCTGTATCCTTTTCGGGGGGTTCTCGCCAGCAGTGCTCGGGCCGAAGATCCCGGCTAGAGCTGGGGGGGCGGGCGGGGGTAGCGCCCAGGAACGCGGACAGAGCCGACAACGCGCCCGCCGGGTACTCACCCACGCAGCGAGTGCCCTCCTCGTTGAGGTGGTAGCCGCGGCCACAGGTGGGCACGTTCTTCCGGCAGGTGTAGGAGCCCTCCGTGTTGATGCAAGTCTGGCCCGTGGGGCAGGGGGCACTGAGGCTCAGGCACTCGTTGATGTCTGGGGAGACGGGAGACGGGGCTAAGCTGGGGCCCCCAGCATCGCCACCCCCCCGGGGACCCTCTCCCTGCGCCACTGACCCCAACACTGTGCCAGCACACGCCTCCCTCCTCAGTAGCACCAGGGGCCCTTCCTCAGCCAGGGGCCGCGTCCCCTCTGGGTCCCCCAGCACCGATGGACCCAGGCCGGTGAGCATCACACACCACGCGGTAGGTCCCCGGAGGCCCCTGCACCTGGTCCCTGGCCCCCAGCCCCCTGGCCCACAGTCACCGCCTGGCCACTCCCAGGCCTGGGGGAAGCTGGCACCTCTCGCCTGCCAGGCCCGCACCCCCACAACTCGGGCCCCTGGATGGCCCCCTTGTTTATTTATTTATTTTTTTTTGCTTTTTGGGTCACACCCAGCGATGCTCAGGGGTTACTCCTGGCTCATGCACTCAGGAATTACTCCTGGCGGTGCTCGGGGGACCCTATGGGATGCTGGGGGTCGAACCCGGGTCAGCCGCGTGCAAGGCAAACGCCCCCCTACCCACTGTGCTACCGCTCCAGCCACAACCCCCTTGTTTAAAACAGCACAAAATGACATTGAGGTGCCTCATGTCAAGGGAAAGAGAGAACAGACCAGGAGCCCCCAGTCACTCCGTTATAAAAGCTCCCAAGAGCCGGGGGACCCAGCAGGGCACAGATACGCCCCCATCCCATCCTGGGGGTCTGGGGAGATGCTTTCCCTCCGGCCCGTGCGTTTTGTTGGCATTTTTTTGTTGTTGGCATTTTAAAGAATCAACAGTGGAGACAGAACCGTGGGGAGGGCGCTTGCCTTATGCACGCCTGACCCGGGTTCGATCCCTGGCCTCACAGAGGTTCCCTCGAGTCCCGCTGATGCCTGAGCACAGAGCCAGGAGGGAGTTTCAACCGCCCCCACCAATGGAGTCCTACAGGATATCCTAAAAGCAACGTTTTATAACGGTGGGACGGTGTGATGCTGGTGGGATCGGTGTTGAAATATTGAATACAATCACTTACTGTGAATAACTTTATGAAAAGAAAATTGAAAACTTGGGGCTGGAGATAGCACAGCGGGGAGGGCGTTTGCCTTGCATGCGGCCGACCCGGGTTCGATTCCCAGCATCCCATAGGGTCCCCGGAGCACTGCCAGGGGTCATTCCTGAGTGCATGAGCCAGGAGGAACCCCTGTGCATCACCGGGTGTGACCCAAAAAGCAAAATTTTAAAAAAGAAAGTTTAAATAAAGAATTAGATAAAAGTAACATTTTGGGAGTGGGGACTCCTGAGCACTGTCCGGGGACCCAGGGTCACTTTGGGTGATTCCCGGCCAAGAGGGCGGGGCTGGAACCACACCCAGGGACTCACCCTGCTCACACACGCCTAGACACTGAGTGAGCTCAGAGTTCCCAAAAGGCAAATTCTAAGGATTCAAGAAATGTTTCTGGGTCCTGATTTGGACGGACTGAACACAAGAAAGAACCCAGAATTCAGCTTCAATGGCCATGGATGCAGAAACGGGAGTGCCCCCCAGGGTCCTGAGTGGAGCAGGGTGCCCACCTCCCGGCCTGGGTCCCAGAGGGTCTGCCCCTGTCCACTAGCTCCACCCCGTGCGGGGTGGGCACGAGGGAACGGTCCCTCCCCAAGTCCCCGCAGCTCCCCAAGGGAAAGCTGGGGTAGGGGCTAAAGTGGGAGTGGGAGGGGGGGCTTCCTGTCCACCTAACAGTGTCCACCAGGACTGGTGTCTGGCCAGCAGCCCCCGCCCCGGCCACTGGCTGTTCCCCCAACTCTAGCCAGCTCCCCCAGATCTCTGGGTTTAGAGGTCGCACTTGCAATTCTTTTTTTTTTTCCTCTGTTCTTTGGGGCCACACCCAGCAGTGCTCACTCCGGGCTCTGCACTCAGGAATCGCTCCCGGGTGGGGGGGGCTGCTCGATGGACCATGTGGGACGCCGGGAATGGAACCCAGACTGGACACTGGAACCCGGCCAATGCCTCCTGACTGCACTATTATCTACCCCCGTTGGCAATTTTTTTTTTTTGCTTTTGGGGTCATTCCTGGCAGTGCTCAGGGGACCATATGGGATGCTGGGAATCGAACCCGGGTCGGCCGCTGCAAGGCAAATGCCCTCCCCACTGTGCTATAGCTCCGGCCCCCCTGTTGGCAATTCTTGACCAATCAGTCCTGTGTGCACAAAAACCCAAAGATGTGGAACTTCACGGACGATGCTGGGGGCCGGGGGCCGGGTCTCCCCATATGCGGGGTGACCCCAGGGCCGCTGCACCCAGCAACACTCAGGAACGCATGGGGCGCTGCAGGCAGAGACTCACCCCTGTGTCTCTAACGGGTGAGGTAACCACCCTCCTCACTCAGAGGCGCCCTCTGGTGGACATGGGGTTCCCGTCATCGGAACCACGGGAGAGGGAGAAGGCAGGGGGGCTCACAGGGCAGTGTGGGGTGAACCCCTCACGAGGCACAAGCCCCACCCGGCTCGTGACAGTCTCACGTGTGTCACTCCATGCTTTCTCTGGGCTGGGCTCATTGGCACAGGGGCATGGGCCTGCCCCGGCCAACCCGGGGACCGTCTTCCCCACCCGGACTCACGTCCAGAGAACAAAGCCGCCCAGCGCCCACCCGAAACATCCCTGTCTCTGTCTTCCCAAACTGGATGGCCAACAGGGCGCCCACGAGGCTTCTCTCTTTAGGATGCCGGGGGGTGGGACCCCACAGGAGGCCTCACACACCCACAATGAACTGTACCCCAGGGCCAAGTCGGCAGAACAACCCCTGCGATGCTCTTATTTATTGATTGATTGATTGATTGATTGCTTTTTGGGTCACACCTGGTGAAGCACAGGGGTTACTCCTGGCTCTAAACTCAGAAATTATCCCTGGCGGTGCTCAGGGGACCCTATGGGATGCTGGGAATCGAACCCGGGTCAGCCGCGTGCCAGGCAGATGCCCTACCCGCTGTGCTATTGCTCCAGCCCCGCGATGCTCTTATTTAATGCATCACCCCCGCGACGACACTGCCCGCCTGCCAGGGAGAAGGGAACTGCGGCTCTGGGGGGGAAACCCCCTTGGCGGGGTCCCTCGGGTGCAAACCAGGGCTCTCGCGCCCCAACTTCCCCTCAAGCTTCGTCTCACCCAGCAGGTTGGCTGACTACAGCCTTGGGGCCAAGCCCACCTGCACGCTGTGTGGATAACTCAAGTTTTACTGGGACCCGGCCCAGCCTTCGGTGCTCATCTCCGCCCAGAGAGGGTCCCTGCAGCAAAGAGACGCATCGCAGACGCCTCCTGGCCCGACGCCGGCCACAGCAGGCCCTTCCTCTGCCAAGCGGAGCGGCCCCCTTCCTACACACGGTGTGGCCCCCCATCTCTGAGCAGGAAGCCCTGGGGGCCACGTCTTACCAATGCAGTTCCCTACAGCATCTTGTATAAAGCCGCTTTTACACTGAAGCTTGGGTCTGCAGCGGAAGGATCCCGGAGTATTCTGACAGATAAAATCGGGGAGGCAGTTATGAATACCAGTCTCACACTCGTCAATATCTGGTGCGTCATAAAGAAAGGAGAGGGTTAGCAAGGGGCCTGCGGCAGCACCTACCACACCCTGCACCCCGCCCCCCCGGCTGGCACCCAGCCCTGTCCTCCCGGCTGTGTCCGCTAAGCACCCAGGCTCGGAGCACTGGCACCAGAGCCCAAAGACCCCTGCAACAATGCCCCTTCCCGGTCTCCCATCACATGCAGTGGTGCCCGCCGGGCGGCCACAGGGACTGGGCTGCCTCCCCTCCCCCGCTTGAAGTTCAAGGCTGTCCAGTGTTCAAGCCCATGGACACCGCTGGCTGGGCCCTTGTGTCCGGCGGGGATGCAGGACCCTGAGGGTGGGGGTGGAGGAGGGGGCGGCCTGAGGGTCTCCAGCAGCAGGGGAGGAATCTCGCTCCCCCGGCTGTGCCCTGTGTTGTTGTTGTTATGGTGGTTTTTTTGTTTTGTTTTGTTTTGTTTGCTTTTTGGGTCACACCCAGCAATGCTCAGGGGTTACTCCTGGCTCTGCACTCAGGAATGATTCCTGGCGGTGCTCGAGGGACGATATGGGATGCTGGGAATCGAACCCGGGTCAGCCACGTGCAAGGCAAACGCCCTCCCTGCTGTACTATCACTCCAGCCCCTCGGCTGTGCCCTTTGGGAAGGGTTTGATGCCTCCGGCATAAAGCTCCATCCTAGCAGTTCCCGGGCAAACCGGTACCCACTGGGCGTGGCAGGGCAGGGGAAGGCACCCAGGTAGCCCCCCACGGGCCCCCTGGTCCCGGTTTGGACACCCCGATGGGAACGACAAGCCTTGAACTTCAAGGGGCGAGCTAGGCTCCTTCCCCTGTCCGCCCACAGAGGGCGCCAGCGAGCACCACACCTGCCTCCCTGCCGGACAGCGCGCCCGCCCGCCCCCTCCCGCGGCCCTGGCTGCAGCCTGGACGGGGACAGAGCCCGCCAGACCCCGCGCCACACACCTTTGCAGTCGTTGTGCTCTGTGAGCTCGTAGCCCGTGCCGCAGCTGCTCTCGCGCTGGCAGCGGAAGGAGCCCACCGTGTTGATGCACGACTCGCCCAGCCGGCACGTGTGGGTCCCCGTGATGCACTCGTTGACGTCTAGGAGAGAGGTGGCGGGGTCGCGGGTCACCAGCTGGAACCCCCCCCTCCCCGCCGTCCACCCCGGGAGCCCCCCAGCACTGAGCCGGGAGCAGCCCTGAGTGTCACCCGCTTGGCTGCCAAGCCAGACTCCGGGCTGGAAGGAAGTTGGTGGGTCTCAGCCTGGCCCTGACCAGTCCAGCGAGGATGTGCCACTCCTGGCCCTGCCCTGGCCCCCTAAAGTCCCCGGCTCTATCCTGCACCCTGAGAAAATCCCAGGTCTGCCCCGCAGCACAGCCTGGGGAGAGACGGGCTCCTGAGAACCAAAGCCACAATTTCCTTTTTTATTTATTTATTTATTTTTGCTTTTTGGGTCACACCCGGTGATGCTCAGGGGTTCCTCCTGGCTCTGCAGTCAGGAATCACTCCTGGCGGTGCTCGGGGGACCCTATGGGATGCTGGAATCAAACCTGGGTCAGCTGCGTGCAAGGCAAACGCCCTCCCTGCTATGCTATCACTCCAGCCCGAGAGACACAATTTCTATCTCCCTCTGCTACACTCCCGATCGTTACTGACCCCCAGGGCGCCCAGAGAGTGACCTCAGAGCCTACACGGCCCCGTGACCCACAGGAACCCCGCCCATATCTCCCCCCTCTGTCATCTCCCACATCTCTCAGGCCAGGGCCCGGGGTCAGTGGGGGACCCAGTGTGGCATCAACTCTCCCGGCTGCCAAGTCCGGGGCATGTCAGAAAGCAACTCTGTCCCCGGGGGGGACTCTTACCCTCGCAGGACACGCCGTCCGCCTGCAGCTGGTAGCCCACGAAGCAGGAGCACACGACGTCGGTCCCCGTGTCCCGGCACTGCTGTCTGCAGGGCCCTCCGCCTGCAACGAGCCCGCGTGAGGCCTGCCCGCCCGGGCAGCGGCCACTACGGGTGTCCCCGGAGAAGGGACAGGCAGAGGGGGAGCCCGGGTCCCGCCCCACGGTGCGGCCATGGGGAGCTCGGAACTCGGACCCCGCTCAGGAGGGAGCACTGTCAGACTAGGCCCTGCCCCCTCCCGCCCACTGCCAGTCCCCTGGGGCCCCAGCACCCAGGTGGACCCTCCCAAGGTGCATCAAGTCTCCCTGGGGACCACCCCTCCGGCCAGACCCTGTGGCCTTGGGGGGCTCTGTCTGCCTCTGCAGAGTGCTGTCATTCGGGCCCCTCCCAACACCCCCCTGACCCCAGGACCAGCTGCTGGATGCTCTGAGGTGCGGTCCTGCTGGCAGGACATGCTGAGATGCCGTGTCAAAGGTCAGGGCAGCTCCATCCGTTGCAACAAGCAAACCTCCAGCCCGAGTATCTCCCTCGCCCGGAGGCCTGGCGGGGCCTGAGCCCAGGACGCCCCCCCGGCCAGGGCTGAGTTCCCGACACCCAAGGCCATGGCTTGACGCCCTCGTGCCCACCCTCCCGGGGCCCCAGGCTGGCTCGGAAGAGAGAAGGGAAGCCGGCGGGGCCTGAGACTCAGAGCCGGTCTCTGAGCAAACCCTGAGCTCAGGTGTCCCGCGAGAAGAGGCGCGTCCACGCTCCTTCCAGAAGGTTCTCACCTCGGCAGCGGTCATTCAGGTAGGGGTCCTCCGCGTCCTCCTCCGTCCCAGGGTTCTTAGGTAAGGCTAGGGGAGAGGAGACAGGTCAGGCCGGACACTGGGTCTCGTCCGCGCGGGAAAGAAAGCCCTACTGCCACTTCCCCCCACAATTTAATCTTGGTTTGGGGCCGCACCCCACTAGGAGGAATTCCCGGTGGGCTCAGGGGACCAAGTGGGCTTGAACGTGGCTGGCCAGTGCGAGGCAAGCGCCCTCCCCGCTGTCCTATCTCTCGGGCTGATCACACAGGACACCGGCACCCCCACCAGTGACCACGACACCCCCACCCACCCCAGCACACTTCCACGGCAAACCGGAGCTCCAGAGGCTGGTTTCACCTGCTCCTGCTGCCTTAGCCATTTGTTCTTTTTTTTTTTTTTTTTTTTTTGCTTTTTGGGTCACACCTGGCGATGCTCAGGGGTTCCTCCTGGCTCTGCACTCAGGAATGACTCCTGGCAGTGCTCGGGGGACCCTAAGGGATGCCGGGGATCGAACCTGGGTTGACCGCAATGCAAGGCAAACGCCCTCCGCACTGTGCTATTACTCCAGCCCCTGTAATCTTTTTTTTTAATTTTTAAAATTGTTGGGGGTTGTTGGGGGTGGAGAATGGGCACTGGTGAAGGTACGGGTGTTTCATTGTATGACCGAGACTTAGACCCGAAAGCTTTATAACTGCTCTCACGGTGATTCAATAAATAAAATTATAAAAAATGAAAAAAAATGTAAGGTGGAGTTCATGCCCAATTCAGTCAGCTAATCAGTGGCTGAATAAATAGCAGTACTCCTATACAAAAAAAAATTGGGGTCACACCTGGCGATGCTCAGGGGTTCCTCCTGGCTCTGCACTCAGGAATCACTCCTGGTGGTGCTTGGGAGACCCTATGGGATGCTGGGAGTCGAACCCGGGTCGGCCGCGTGCAAGGCAAACGCCCTCCCCGCTGTGCTATTGCTCCAGCCTCTGGCCATTTGTTCTTGTCTTCCTCAGTGCCCATGCCCACCCCGGAGAACCTTCTAGACCTGCCCTCTCCTTCCGCCCATTGCCACACTGCCCGACCTCCTCCTGGGGACCAGCTGTGCTCCCCTGCCAGATTCCACCTTCCTGGACCTGCTCATCCGCCTCTGACCCCCGGGGTGGTCTCCAGAGCGTGGCTACTGTGGGCAGTGCTGCCCTGGCAGGCAGGCCACTGCCTTTTCCAACAGGGTTTTCGGACCCTTGGGGCAGGTGCCAAGAAATGGAACCATGGGTTGTGTGGGGGCTCGACTCGGAATTCCATGAGAAGCCGCCATGCTGCCGTCTGCAGGGGCTGGACAGCCAGCAGCAAACTCTATCTTCTTGGAAACACCAGACAGACATGTCAACTGTCTGTGGTTCTTATGACAGTCGGTGCTCACTGCCTCCCTCTGAAAGAGGCCGGAGACAGCCATAGCACAGCAGGGAGGGCGTTTGCCTGGAATGTGGCCGACCCGGGTTCAGTCCCCAGCACCCATAGGGTCCCCCGAGCACCGCCAGGAGTCATTCCTGAGTGCAGAGCCAGGAGTGACCCCTGAGCATCACCGGGTGTCACTCCAAAAAAGAAAAAAATAATAAAATAAAAGGGGCCTCCTGCCAAAATAGAACGGTCTTCACACTCTTTCCACTTTTTTGCAGCATTTTCAGCGGTTTTTCATAACAAACAACACAAGATATATCATTTCGGTGCTGCTTTGGGACAGGGATTGGGGTTTGGGATGGAAACATCCCAAATATGACGATGGGAAGGTGTACTGGTAGTGGAATTGGTGTTTGAATATTAAATGTAATCAAATATTGTGATCTACAGGGAGTTTGACTTGCACTCGGCTGACCCGGCTGACCTGGGTTCAATTCTTCCTCCCACCTCAAGAGAGCCCGGCAAGCTACCAAGAGTATCTCACCCACACGGCAGAGCCTGGCAAGCTTCCCGTTACGTATTCGATATGCCAAACACAGTAACAACAAAGTCTCACAATGGAGATGTTACTGGGCCCGCTTGAGCAAATCAATGAACAACGGGAGGACAGTGCTAAGTGCTACCTTATAAAGTAAAAAGTACAAATCACTGTCACTGTCCTCCCATTTTGTTCATCGATTTGCTTGAGTGGGCACCAGAAACGTCTCCATTGTGAGACTTGTTGCGACTGTTTGTGGCATATCGAATACTCCACGGGGAGCTTGCCAGGCTCTGCCGTGGGGGCGAGATACTCTCGGTAGCTTGCGGGGCTCTCTGAGAGGGTGGAGGAATCAAACCAGGGTCAGCCCGGGTTGTTCATGTGCAAGGCAAACGCCCTCCCCGCTGTGCTATCACTCGCAAGGCCAACCTAAAGTCAACCTGCAGCACACTATAAAAATATAAATGAATAAAAATAAAATAAAAGGTCCAGCGGGAGCGTGGTGGAAGGCTGTGTCTGAGGTTTGATCTCCAGTATCCCACAGGGTCCCCCAAACCCCACCAGGAGTGATCCCTGAGTAAAGTCTGGGGTGGCCCCAAAACCAATGAAAAAACCATGAAAATTAATAAAAATACGATGAGAGAGCCGGGGAGGTGAGTCAGAGGAGGGTGTGTACCTTGCGGGTGCGAAGACCTCAATTCCATCCCAGGCAGGATGGATATAATCATAATATTATTATTATTATTATAAATGAGAACGAAAGTACCCACAGAAGTGGAGTTCACTCTCTGGAAACTCTTTTTTTTTTTGCTTTTTGGGTCACACCCGGCGATGCTCAGGGGTTCCTCCTGGCTCTGCACTCAGGAATGACTCCTGGCGGTGCTCAGGGGACCCTATGGGATGCTGGGGATCGAACCTGGGTCGGCCGCGTGCACGGCAAACGCCCTCCCCGCTGTGCTATCGCTCCAGCCCCTCTCTGGAAACTCTTTGGCAACAGAAGCGGGAGCCACTCCAAGGCTGAGGACGACAGAGCCAAGACCTGGCCCCCCGCTGAGCAGCCTGGCTCACGGCCGCGACCCTCCCAGAACCCAGCGACATGGCGCCTGGCTGGAGAAAGGTCCCGGGGGAGCCTGTTTGGTCACCCTGTCCCCAGCCCCCAGGGGAGGGGCAGCGCTCTGAACCGGGCACGGCCCTTGGTGCCAAAGAGCCAGGGAACAGGGGTCGCGAGGGTGTGCCCCCGCCCAGGCCCCCTCCCGGGAAGGGAGATCTGGTCACGGGAAAAGACGGTGATGGGAGCAACTGGGCTCTGCTGGCTGCGGGTGGGAGGGGGCAGGGCGGGGTCGGGCCCGGCCCCAGCGTCTCAGACCTCAGAGCCCCAGGCCACGTGGTGACACATTTCCTTCCCAAAGCCCCTGAGAGGCAGACCCGGGTGCCAGCGGGCCACACGCCTCTAACCCCTTGCGGGACGCTGGCCCAGGGGCCTCTGCTCCAGGCTGGACACAGCTGAGGTCCCGGGGCCCCAACAGCATGGCACTGAGGGCGAGGGCAGGTGGGGTAGGCCAGGTGTGCGGGACCCTGGCCAGGTGTGCAGGACCCCGGCCAGGTGTGTAAGCACCTCAACCAGGTGTGCAGGACCCCGGCCAGGTGTGTGGGCACCTCAGCCAGGTGTGCGGGACCCCCATCCCTGCAGCCAAGCATCGCGGGCAATGACGCCCCTCCCTGAGCGTGGCGGGGGGCCCTCTCAGGCCGTACCTGTGTCCTGGAGTTCGGCGACGTGGCCCGGGCTGAGCTCCGAGGCCTCCTGGCCCTTGACGCAGCAGGTGCGGAACACCAGCCCGCACTGGTAGCCCACCATGAGGTTGTGCTCACAGCTCTGTCCCTGGGCCTGGGCCGCCCTGCCCAGCAGGCAGCAGTGACAGCACCTCTGCAGGGGTGGGGGGCAGGGGGAGCTGAGCACGGGCGGGGCTGGGGGGGATCTGGGCAGGGGGAGGGGCAGGAGAGGGGCGGGGAGGGGCGAGGGGGTGGAACTGGGAAGGGGAGGGATGGGGAAGCTGAGCAGGGGAGGGGCAGGAGAGGGGCAGGGGAGGGGTGGGGCGAAGTGGAACTGAGCAGGGGAGGGCAGGGGAGGGGCAGGAGAGGGTCGGGGAGGGGGCCGGGGAGGGGAACTGAGCAAGGGAGGGGCAGGGGGGAGGGGGACAGGAGGGGAGGGGAAGGGAGAGCCAGGCAGGGGTGGGGGCGGGGGCCTGTGCACATTCACCCCCAAGCCAGAAAACAACCCATTTCGGTCCTGATGGTGGTGAGACAGGCAGGAGGCGGGGGGTGGGGGCCCCACGTCCACCCCCAGAAGCCCGGATACCCCCCTGCCATGCCCACAACCTCCCCACCTCCCGGGAGCACAGGGCAGTGTGTGCTGGCCGGCCCCCAATCCCTCTGGGGCCCTGGAAGGCGGCAGGTCTGGGGGTCCCGAGCCCCTCAGTCCCCAGGGAGTGCCCAGGGTCACGCCCCCCGCACCCCACACCTGCAGCGCTGCCAGGGGGCCCCTCATCCCCCGCCCCCCTGCTCTTCCAGGGACACCCGGGAGGAGGTCACAGGTCAGAGGCCTCCAGGGGGCGTGTGGGGGAGGGGCGCCCTCACCTTCACCACCACGGCCTCCAGGCTGCCACTGTCGGCGCCGGCCAGGGCGCAGCTGTCCTGCTGGCCAGCCAGGCTGATGCCGCGTGTGCAGTGCAGTTCCTCCACCTGGTGCTCGCAGCACTGCTCCTCTACCATCCTGCGGCGGGACACGCAGCGGCGGTGACCCGGCCCGCGCCTCCCTCCTCATGCCAGGCCACGGGAAGGGGCCTTGGCAGCGGCAGACACAGGGACGCCGGGGCCAGCGGGCCAGAGCCCAGCAGCCAGGCCCGGCCTTCTGCACCCCAGGGGGGTCTGCCGTGGCCTCCTTGCCCCCCACCCTTGGGCTGGACCCCCAGACTCAGCTGTGGGCAGCTCCAGCGAGGGCAGGCCGGTGCCAACCTGGGAAGGCACCGGTGCCAGCCAGGCACCCGCTGCGCCCCTGAGTCTCCACAGCTGCCCCTGGGCTCAGGAAGGAGCCGCGTGTCCAGCCACACGCGCTCGCCTGGGTTTGCAAACCAGCCACAGGGGCCTCAGCCATGGGGACTGGATGAGAAACGTGCGGTGACGATGTGTCACCACTAGGGGGTGCCACTGACAGGCCTGTGGAGGGGAAGCCCCTCCCTGTGGTCGGGGGTTTCACTGACTGCAGGGAGAATGACCAGGTTCCGTCCATCCATCCCCGTCCGTTTACCTGCCACCCCCATCACTGTCCATCCACCTATCATCCACTTTTCCACCCATCATGCACACAGTATCCACCCATCACCAGTCCACCCACCTACCTGCCTGTCACCGTCTATACACCGTGTATACACCATCGTGTATACACACGTAACCTACCCCCACATCACCCATCATCCATCCTTCATCCTTCAACCATCCATCACCCATCCATCATCTACCCACCCACTCACCCATATATCCATCCACCCACCACCACCCGTCCACCCATTCATCCACCCACCATCCATCCATCCACCCATCCATCCACCTGCTCACCCATCCACCCATCCACCTGTCCACCCACCCATCCAGCCAGCCAGCCGCTCACCCGTCCACCCATCCACCCATCCACCCACCCACCCACTCACCCACCCATCCATCCATCCATCCACCCGTCCACCCACCCACCCATCCATCCATCCATCCATCCACCCATCCACCCATTCATCCATCCACCTGTCCACCCACCCACCCATCCACCCACCCATCCATCCATCCATCCACCCATTAGCCCATCCGCCAGTCATCCATGCACAGAGGACAGGTGTGATCAGGATATGACTGAACCACACATGGGTGTGGGTATAAAGGGGTTCAGCTGCTGTGGGAACAGCTCAGCAACGCCTCAAAAACAACAAAAACAACAAAGGATTCCTACAGGGTTCCGCAATTCTCCTTCTGGGGAGATACTCCACAGAAGTGGAGAGCGGGCCCCGGGCGTGGCAAGCTGGTGTGCACACGCATTGCACATATGAGGCCCTGGACTTGCCCCCTGGCACGGCAGGCCCCAGGCGGCCCCGAGTCCAGATGAGTGTGGCCACCACGGCACAGAGCAGCTGGCTGGAGGCCCCTCTGCGCTCGGGGCCCCCCACACTCCAGTCCCCTGCGCCCTCAGCACCTGAGCAGTGCCCACGGGGGGCTGCGTCTGCCCCCCACCCCGAGTGAGCCAAGAGCCCAGCCGTGGGCCCGAGGGAGTGAGCAGAGGGGCAGCGTGCCTCAGGGCCAGGGGCTCCTCGGCCGAGGGCCTCCCCGGACCTCCTGGGGGCTGGAAGGTTCCGCAGAGACATGGGGCACTGGGGGCCACCACGGCGCTCGGCCAACCTGGGGGTCCAGCCCTCCCCGCACCCACCTGCACTCTCTGGACGCCGAGGGCTGGGGCTTCGTGCAGTCCTTCTGCTGCGTGGCCTTGCGCTGTCCCTCGGCACAACAGGCCTCCATGGCGACGTCTGCGCCCACTGTGCAGGGGAGCAAGCCGTGAGCAGCGGGGAGCCCCCACCTCCAGGAAGCCCGCCTCCCGCCCCCTGCACAGCACCGGCTCTTCCCAAAAGCACTGGAACATCTGGAGGGACCAGAGACCCCATCCCTGCTCATGGTCACCCCACGACCCCCCACCCCCACCCCTGCCCGCTGTCCCCGCCTCCCTGGCTTTTCCCCTCCCTCTGCGCCCCCACCCCACCCCACCCCGTGACCAAGCTGGTCGGTGCCTGGAGACTGCCTGGCCCGGCCTGGGGTGGGCTCAGCTTCCGTCTCTCCCGGCCTTGCCCTGAGACTCCCAGTGACGCAGCCCCAGCCCCAGGAGTTACTGTTTTGTCTACAACGTTACCGCAACCCCCACCGAAGTGCCCAGGCCCCCCCCTGCTGTCCCAGGGTCCCTTCTGGCCTGGTCTTGACTGACCCCCTGCACTCCCCACTGTGTCCAGCACACAGGCTGTGTCCAGCACAGTTTGTGACCCAGCTTTGTAATCCCAGACCAAGGGCTTATCACGGTCCATACAGTCTCGTCTCGTCTCCGTCTTGAAAACTGAGTCATCCCAGATATCTCTGGTCCCCTCCCTCTCCCCCCTCCCTCTCTCTCCCCTCCATGCACACACACACATCTGCACACATACATATACCCATGCACACGTACACACACACCTGCACACGTACACACACACCTGCACACGTACACACAGCTGCACACACACACACACACATGTGCATACACACCTACACACACACATTCAACCATGCATAAACCCAGAGTACACAACACACCACAAACAGACACAGACTCACACACACACACACACGAGCCCACACCCCCACATGCACACACAGTTCAGGCCCACGCTCAGGCACACACACAGCCGTGACCATGCACACGTGTGTATTCACACCTGCACCCAGGCAGATGCATGACTGTACCTGCACAGACACTGGTACCCCCACCCACACACACACGTCCCTGCACACGAGTGTGAACACGTGAGCAGGCACAGCGGGGTGACGGCCTCTGAGCCGGACACTGGCCGCTCTGGCCCCCCACCTGCCCTCAGCCGGCCCCGAGCTGCTGGCCAGGGCATGTGGGGGGACGGGCAGGAGAGACCCCGCGGCCCGTTGTCGGGACCCCGTGTGGGTGGACGCATGACCCCTTAGCCCCCGCGGCCGGACGAAGGTCACCGCAGCAGCCTGTCCCCAAACCGGGCTTATGGGCACGTCTCGCCGTGGCTCTGTGGAGCCCAGGGGGGCCCGTGAGGCCCCATCTTAGCGCACGGGGGGGGCATCCCCCACCCCAGGCTGACTGAGGCCGCGCAGGGGGACCCTGCCTCTCCCACAGACACCGGGAAGCCCCTCCCGGGCCCAGCTGCTGTTGGGGGCAGGAGACGGGGCTGCAGTGTGGGGGCGTCCGGGGCCTCCTCTGAGGGAGATAAGGAGCCCCGTGACCCTGAGGACGCCCGGCCTGAGGGCAGCGAGCGGGCACTCTCAGCCCCTAGGTCACCCAGACCCAACAGCTCTGGGCCGGAGGGTCCGGACTGAGGCCGGCTTTGACCTCAGCACCACCGGCACCCCGGGGGGTGGCCCTTGGGTGTCCCCAGCAGCACCACACCAGGCCTCGGCTGACCACCACTCCACCAGCCACACGTCCAGCTCTGCTTGGGAGAGCCGGGTTGGGGTGGCTCCGGCAGGCTCTGGGCTCTGCCTTGTTCTCCATCTCCCAGCTCAGAGAGGTTCAGTCACTGGCTCGAGGTCACACAGCAAGAAGGAGCGGCAAACAGCAAAGCCGGGGGACAGACACAGGGCATGGTCCCAGCAGCCTCTGGCGCTGGGCTGGTCAGTGACTCCTCGGCGAGAAACGCCTGTGTGCCGTGCGGAGGGGCTGCTTGTCATCCCTGCCTCCCCAAAGCCCCCGCCCCGGCCCCCAGTGGCGCCTGAGTTTCAGGTGGACGGGGCTGAGGCTTCGGGTGGAGAGAACAGAACACCCAGAATCACCCAGAACATTCCAGAATCACAACTCTAAACAGCATTTAAGGGGCGGGAGAGAGGGGAAGGTGCTGGCCTTGCCTACGTGGGCAGACCCGGGTTCCATCCCCGGCACCCCACTGGCATCCCCCGAGCACCGCCAGGAGTGACCCCTGAGTGCAGAGCCGGGAGTCACCCAGAGCGTGGCCGGGTGTGGCCCCAAACCCCACCCACCACCACCACCAGCAGCATCTGAGTGCCGTGTGCAACGGGACCGTCTCTACAGCCCCGGGTGGACGTCAAGCAAAGGTCTGTGAGTGCTGACCCCTCCCGGAGCACTTCTGGGCCGGGCATGCTCCCCCCTCCTCGGGGGTCTCGCAGGCCAGTGGCCCCTCAGAGACCCCCGTCCCCAGCACACAGCAGCCACCTTCTGGGTCAAGTCGGCCTGGGAGAGGGCACGGGGGGGGGGGGGCGGTGCTTGGGTGTCCACCTGGCCCCAGGCCCTCCACGGACCCTCTCGGAACCTCGGAACAGGCTGCCCTGAGGCCCTGCCCGAGCCCCCAAGTCCACCGCCCCTTCCCCCACTCCCAGAGGAACTCGCGGCCACCGACACCCGTGGCTGGCATGAGCCCCGATGCCCCTCTCCCGGGGGACACTCCCTCCCCGCCAGTGTTCGGGATTGATCCGTGGGTGACCCGGCGTCCTCTCCTGCCCCAAGGGAGCTCTCGGCCGAGTCTCCGTAGGGCCCCTGAGGCCACTCGGAGCCCAGCACTGCCAGGGCTGGGGCGCAGAGGGCAGGAGAGACTGTCCCTGCCGGCTGGACTCTGTCCACCACAGAACGTGGCGCCCGGGGGTCAGCGCGGGGCTGTCTCCCCGATTCCCTCTTTGCCCACCGCCGGGGTGGTCCTGCCTCTGACGGCGCCTGCGGGTCCCCGAGCTCCTGACTCCAGGGGACACTGGGGGGCGAGGGGGGCAGGCAGGAGCGGGGAGGCGAGGCCTGGACAGACGGGCTCTCCCTTCCCCTTCCCTGCGGGCAGCGGCCAGGCGCCGTCTGGCCTCCAGGAGGCAGAGTGGACGCATTCTGCGGTTTCAGCCACCGCATCGCACGCGACACCCAAGTTCCAGGAGGCAGAGTGTCCCCAGGCTGACCCTCGACTGTCCCTGTGCTAATGGACGGACGGTGGACAAGGGGGGAGGGGGCGGGCTCCAGGGAGGGGCTTGGGAGCTGCCTAGAGCAGCTGCTTCGTGACACACTCACGACGCCCCGCCGTGCCTCAGTTTCCCCGCTGGTGTAAGGGGAGTGAACCAGCTGCTCCCGGCCTCCGTAACAAGCCTCCCTCCCGGCACCCAGGCCCCAGGGGACCCCAGCCCTGGCTTTCCTCTCTTACAGCTTTGCCCCCCACCAGGAGGTGGAGGGACCCCCCACACGAGACCCCCCCACCTAGGGGGTGTCCCCCGTAGTGGCCCGAGTGGGCAGAACACTCACACCACGGCCAGCTGGTGAGGGGAGAGAGTGGCTGGGCCCCTGGCCCCCAGCACAAAGTCATGGGGTCCCGCCGACTGGGGACCCACCCAGCAACTCAGGGACAGAGGCCTGGGGACTGAGGAGGACCAGGTGAGCTGGGACTGAGCACCCGGCTCTCCCCAGGACCCGGCCCTGAGCACCACCAGGAACGTCCCCAGAAGGAAATGCCTTCCTGGCATTTCTGGGCACCAGAACCAGGGCCAGGACCGGGGAGGTGGGACGGGGAGGGGGAGGCTCTGCCCTGCACACGGGGCACTTGGTGCCCAGAACCACACACGTGGTCCCGACTTGGCCCCCCGGGAAACTCGGGGTGAGCCTCCTAGCCTGAGTGCTGCCATGGGGGGCAGCCAGCACCGCCCTCCCCAGGAGGACACAGGAGCCCCGGGAGCTCCCTGGGGACCCCAGTCCTCTCTGCCCAGCTCTTCCGAGGTGGGGGGTCCGCCCCAAGCAGCCCTGCCCCCACCGTTAACCCAACCTGCTCCTCCAGCCTCGGGTCAGTACTCAGCTTCCTCCAGGAAGTCTGCCCTGACTTGCTGTGGTGGGAGCTGCGTGGTGGAGGTTGGCCTGGCCGGGTGAGTCCATCACTACATCTGGCCAGACCCCGAGCCCAGGTCCAAGGAACGAGAAGCCACAGACCCACCCCAGGGGCCCCAGAAAGGCTTCCGACTCCATCTCCACGGGCCGACCGCTGACCCGTCGTCCCCGAGCTGGTGCTGGGCAGCCGGCCCTACGCCCCCACCCCACCCCCACCCCCGTGGTGCTGTCCCCAGGCCCCCTCTCCCTGCCTAGGCCAGCCCCCTCCCCGCTGGGACCCTTCCAGAGGCAGGAGGCTGGCCCCCGGCCCGGCCAAGTCCTGCTGCCTTTGTTCCTCCCAGAGCAATTTTCTCAGTAATCAGGGGGAACCCGAGCCCGCCTGGGGGGGCCGGAGAGAACACGGGCCTCCCTGCCAGCCCCCTCCCAGCCCGCCTCCCCCACCAGCCCCCTTTCGGCCCAGCCCCCCACAACAGGACAGAGAGACGCAAAGCACAGGGTAGGCGGCCACCACGCCCCATCCAGCAGCTTAACCCACGGCTCACCCACCATTCGGACCGTCTGATTCTGTGGGGACCCCACGGGGCGCCCCAGGGCCTCCAGGAGTGTGAGCCCCGAAGGGGAGCCCCCTCCACCCCAGAATTGAACAACTTAGTGAAATAACCTTGGGGGGGGGCCCTCCCAGAGGGGCAAAGGCCACAAGTGTCCCGTCAAGGGGCTCCGCTCCCAGGGTCCCTTTGAGCCCCCCATTCTCCGCCAGCAGCAGCCGGGCTGGGGGAGCCCCAAACTCAGGAAGAATCAGGGGTGCTTTCAGAGGGGGCTGTGGGGGGTGGGGGGACCCGTTCCGGATTCCGTCAGGGTCCTGTGTGACCGAGGGCGCCCCCCCCCCAAGCCCAGTCTCCTCAAAGGGGCCAGGCAGGGGCTCTGGCAGCCAAAACAGAGCCCTGTCCAGACCCCCGGGTCGGAGACAGCTCCCTGGCGAGAAGTGACCTCGCACCAGCCAGGGACGGGCTGGGGACGGCAGGAGAGGTGACCCCCCAAGGAAGACCCCCAGTTCCAACAGCCACTGTGGCTCCACCGGCCACCCCCTCCCCCGCCCCCATGAAAGGCTGGAACTAAGCCAGGGATGTGGGGGGTGCTTCAGGGGTCAGCAGAGGGATCAGTGCGGGTACTGGCCTCCTGCTGCGCCCCTCAGAGAAACCTGGGCAGGAGCCCCGCTGGGCCCAGACCACGGAACCAGTTTGCACCGTTGAACCAAACTTCCCCGAGGCCTCCCCACCCGGGAGGGACCCTCAGCCTGCCCCACCTACGCCCCAACCTTGGGGGGCACTGGGGGGTCAGAGGAGGGCAGAGAGACCTTGGGGGGGGCACGGGTACCCAAAATGGGCCAGGACCGGACCCCGGGGTCTCCCTGCGGAGGCGCGCGCAGGGCCCAGTGGGGGTCGGAGGGGCCGTCGGGGGTCCAGGGGGCGTCCGGCCGGGGTGCCCTACCTCGGGCCAGCAGCGCGAGGCCGCCGAGCAGCAGGGCCAGCGGCAGCGGGGACGCGGGGCGCTCCATGGCGCAGTGGACAAAGGCGCGGCGGGCGGGCGGGCGGGCGGGCGGGTGGACGCTCCGGGCTCGGCCGAGCTGGGCAGCCCCGGGCCGGTCGCGTTCAATTATCCCGCCCCGAGGGGGGCGCGGCGGGGGCGGGGCGGGGCCTCCCCGGACCCCCGCCCGCCTGCCGGCCCGGCCCCTCCCCGCCGCGGGCCCGGGCGCCCCGGGGTGCGGGGTGGGGGCGCGCCGAGGCCACGCCGGCCCGGCTTGGGGGTCCCCTGCGCCCTACCCGGACCCTGCGGGCCGCGCGCGCGCTGGGGGGGGGGGCGCACGGGGGATCCGCAGCCGCCAGGCCTTGGGCCCACTCAGCCCGTGGCCCACCAAGGCTTTCCGATATTTCTTTATAAAAAAAAAAAAAGAATTTTCGGGAGGCGGCGCCCGAGGGGGCGTTGGGGGGGACGCGCGGGCGGGTGAGGGGCGCGTGTTACTGAAACCCAGGCGCCGGCGACTTTGTAACTGTGTATCTCGCTGCGGTTCACTAAACAAAGATATTCAAAAGTAAAATAGATTTAAGGAAAAATTAGGGAGAAAAAGAATTTTCCAAGGAGAGGGAGGCGCAGAGGCCTGCTGCTGGCTCGCTGGAGGGCCCCCGCACTGGGTAGCCCAGGGCCATGAGCTTATTTGTGTGGGGCGGGGGTCCCAGGCTCAGGAGGGGACCTCCCCACCCCCACCCTCCCTCCTGCAGGCGCTCAGAGGCTCAGGCAGCAGGGAGCACGGAGCTGGAGGCAGGGAGCACGGAGCTGATTTGGAGGGTCTCTGGGGCATGGGGCATCCAGGGCCCTTTCTCAGGGGCCTGTGGAGTCGCTGACCGCCAGGGCCACCCCGGGAGCGCTGTGGCCCCAGGTCCACCCCTGGTGGTGCTCACACACGGCTGGGGTCTGAGGTCAGGCCCTGAATGTGCCATCAGCGACCACCATCCCAGCTGCACCCCAGCCCCCCTCCCCGTCTCTGACCCTGTCCTGGAAAGGAATTCGAGAAAGAGCTGGTCACTGTGTGCTCTCGAGAGACCAAGAGCCCTTACGGTGTTTGGTTGAAACAACAGCTCAAGCAGAGAATTCGGGCGGGAGGGGGGTGCGGAGGGGTCCCCAGAGGTGCCACTCGGCGACCACTCAGGTCACACAAGCAGCGGGTAGCAAGAAGTCCCACAATGCCAGGGGTGGGGCCCAGGCCCCCTTCCCCTCCATGCTAGCCCTCTGCTTTAGCCCTTCGCTCCGTCTCCCCGTCCCCCAGGAGACCTGTGTGCCCCCATTCCGCAGAGGAGGAAAACTGAGGCCCAGAACCGGGAGGTCACACTCTCCCACTGGTGTGGAATCGACGCTGTGACTCCCAATTGCAGGCTGCCTTTCCTTGTCCTGGTGGGCGCCTCAAGCGCTCTGGGCCAGAGTGACGGGGGGGGGGGCCCTTTCCATCCAGGGAGACTCCTGAGTCCCGGCGCAGGAAAAGGTGCATGCCCTGGCCAGCTCTGTGCGGAGATGCAAGAGGCAGGCCCGAGTGATCTCTCCAGGCCGAGCCGGGCTGTTTCCCGGCTTCTGGGTTGTTCTAGGACGCCCCGAGCACACTGGGCTCAGGACCCATCTTCCAGGGTTTTTTTTTTTTTTTTGCTTTATTACTGGGACGTGTGGTCCCCCCGGAGGCTCACGGGGGGTCCCGTTTCTTCTGCTGAAGGTCTTTTACAAAAACTTCGCTCAATGGGGGCTGGAGCGATAGCACAGCAGGGAGGGCGTTTGCCTTGAACGCGGCCTGACCCGGGTTCGATTTCCAGCATCCCATAGGGTCCCCGGAGCACTGTCAGGGGTCATTCCTGAGTGCATGAACCAGGAGGAATCCCTGTGCATCGCCGGGTGTGACCCAAAAAGCAAAAAAAAAAAAAAAAAACCCACTTCGCTCAATTATTTATTTATTTAATTGGTCACTGGGTCTCATTCGCCTAAAGAGCCTTGAATATAATCTCAGGGCTAGGATGAAAGAGACGTTACTGGGGCCTGCTCGAGGCAATCGACGAATAACAGGATGATGAAATGAAAAATGAAATGAAATAATTGGTCACAGAAAGATATCCGTTGCCCCAGAATTATTTGTGACAGTGAAACTCTAGAAGGGAAGAAAAAGAAAGGAAGAAAAAGACAGCAAAGCAAAGAACGCATCGTGTGGGTTTGCTCCCAGCCCATCCTCCTCAAGCAAACATTGCAACAGGCTGCGCCAGGAGGGGTTGTTTAGTTCTCCCATTTCATATAAAAGTCCTGTTTACACTCCAGAGAGTTAAGTGTGTGGCGAGGCCGTGTCGAAACAAACAGGCCCAAACCATCCCGGAGAGTGACTCGGAGGCCCGGGGGAGACACGTGTTTGTAGTGGGAGGGGGGGAGGTGGAGGCCCAGAGTGGACACATGTGAGCAGCTGGCCGTGAACATGCCCCACGGGGTGGCCCCTCTCTTGCCTCTCTGAAACACACAGTCTCCAGCGACAACTGGGTCAGTCTCTATCGGTGTCCGTGATTCAGTAACGGGCTGAACCACCGTGCCAAGGCAGGCCCGATGCCCGGGCAGAATCCGGTCTCCAAGAACCAGCCTACCCAGCCCGCGAGCGAGCACACACCCTCGGCGCCAAGTGGACACAGGGCAGGACGGGACATCGCCGAGACTGGACGCTCCTTCGTACCAGAACCGACACAAATGCCGTTCCTGCCCCGCAAGATGCACCCTGGGTTTTGGGTCGCTCACTCCGTTCCTGGGCTGGAGCGATGATAGCACAGCGGGGAAGGCATTTGCCTTGCCTGCGGCCTACCTGGCCGACCTGAGTTCGATTCCTCCGCCCCTCTCGGAGAGCCAGGCAAGTTATCGAGAGTATCTCACCCGCACGGCAGAGCCTGGCAAACTCCCCATGGCGTATTGGATACGCCAAACACAGTCACAAGTCTCACAATGTTACTGGGCCCGCTCGAGCAAATCGACGAACAACGGGAGGACAGTGACAGTGACACTCAGTTCCTATTTTCGTGCCAAAGAAAGTTTACCATCTCCCCAGGAAGACGGGCGCCGGCACTCTCTGGCCCTAAGTTCTAATGATTTTCCTGCTGAGTTTCTGTGAAAGAGTTAAAAGCCGGAGGGACAACACTCGTCGTCGTCCTGTCTCTCACAGGAGGTCGGCCCTGCGCGGAGGCCTTCCATCGGGGGCGACGGGCGACGTGTCCCCAGACCCAGAGAATCGGACCGAGGGAACCACCGCAACTCACACTCACACACTCAGTCTCCCACACTCTCACACTCAAACATACACACATTCACACTCACTCTCACACACTCACACACACAGTCACACTCTCACACACTCACACTCTCACACTCTCACATACACACACACTCTCACACACTCACACACTCTCACACTCACATGCTCACACACACTCACACTCACACACTCAGTCTCCCATACTCTCACACTCAAACATACACACATTCACACTCACTCTCACACACTCACACACACAGTCACACAGTCACACTCTCACACTCTCACACACTCACACTCTCACATACACACACACTCTCACTCTCACACACTCACACACACTTACACTCACACACTCACACTCACACACTCACACTCACAATACACACCCACATTCTCCCACATTCTCCCACACTCACACTCTCACACTCTCACACTCACACTCTCACACTCACACTCACACTCTCACGCTCACACATACTCACACACTCACACTCTCTCACACATTTCCATTCAAACTTTCACACACACTCTCACACACTCACACTCTCCCATTCCTACACTCATACTCTCACAGTCTCACACACACACTCACACTCACATACTCACACATTCTCACCCGCTCACACTCACTGTTTCTCTCTCTCTCTCTCTCTCTCTCTCTCTCTCTCTCTCTCTCAGCACACACACTCGGCCCGCGCAGGAAGTCATTTGTTCTTTCCGCTGTGACGGGCTTCTCCCTCCAGGGCCTCCCCCAGGAGACAGCACCCGCCCGCCACAGAGCTCCCCTGAGTCACGGGCCAGGAGGCCTGACGCTGCCCAGCCTCTGGGTCTGAGCCCAGCACGTCCACCCACGCTGGGGCCCAGCCACCCCCCACAGCACACACACACAGACACACACAGACACATACACAGACATACAGACACACACACAGACAAACACACAGACATACAGGCACACACAGACACACAGACACAGACACACAGGCACATACAGACATACAGGCACACACAGACACACACACAGACACAGACATGCAGACACACAGACACATACATACACAGGTACACACACAGACACATATACAGACACACACAAAGACACACACAGACATACACAGACACACAGATACATACATACACAGGCACAGACACATACACAGACATACACACACAGACACACACACACACACACACACACACACACTGACAGGCGCACACATCAAGCCGTGCCTCTGGCTGGCCCCACCACCCTGCTCCTCAGTTCCTCTCTCTGCCCCTCGCCGGGAGCCCCAGGCCCAGGCCGCAGCCGCCTCGTGTGGGTGTGGGCAGAAGCTGTCCAGGCCACTGCAGTGCGGCCCCTGGCCGGGACTCAGGCCAGGGGGCCATTTCTCGCCCCTTGCAGTGCCCACCAGCAGGCACCTGGCCTGGGCGCAGGGCCTTGTTTGGGGCTGAATCGTGTCGACCCCCAACACGAGGTCTTGAGACCTTCCCCCGGCCCTGGCCGAGCCGTGTTAGGGGAGCGTGTGTGTCTGTGTATGTCTGTGTGTGTCTTTGTGTGTGTCTGTATATGTGTCTGTGTGTGTACCTGTGTATGTATGTGTCTGTGTGTCTGCATGTCTGTGTCTGTGTGTGTGTCTGTGTGTGCCGTGTTAGGCCTGTGAGGAGGAGCAGGTCTGGGGGTCGAGGGTGCCCCTTTCCGGGGCGTTCCAGAAGCTCCGGGCCTCTGGACTCAGGAGAGCCAGGGGAGGATCAGGACCCGTTCAGAGG